GCCGCCCGTCGGGGGCTCGCGGCGGCCCGGCTGTGGCTCCGCCCCCGAGTCTGGACGCCCGCCCCGCGCTCGGCTCGGAGCCCGCGACTCGGTCACGAGCTCGCGTCAGCTGGTGCGGAGGACGCCGCGTGACGGTCACGGGGTGCGGCGCCGAGATCCGGGGGCTCGGCCTGGAGCGGCCCGGCGGTAGGCGGAGGGCCTCGGCGTGGAGACGGCGCTTGCCTTTATTTCTCGTTTCTGTGGCGCGGCGACTGAGCCCAGGGCCTTTGCACCAGGACGCTTTTCCAGCCCGGTTTTCTTGTTTTCAACTTGAGGCAGGGCCGCGCCGCGTTGCCCGGGCTGGGCTCGCCCTTGCGGTCCTTCGGCCTCAGCCTGCCGGACCGCCGGGATTTGCCGGCGAGCCAGTCCACGCCCCGCTGGCGCCCGTTTTCAAAATCCCATTGCCCGGTCGGGCGGGGTGGACCGGGGCGATGATGTTTTTAGGCTCCGTGCGCTTCAGGCACGCAGAGGCTGCCTGCACCGCTAGGCGACACCACCTCTGGGGAGGAGAAGCCCGGAGCCCAGCGGATCCCCCGCGAATCTCTGGCCTGAAGATCGGCAGAGACGCTTCCCTGCAGAACTGAGGCTGCATGCAGAGGAAAGGTTTAGCCCTGCGGGAGGCGCAGCCCCTTTCTCTGGGTGTCTTGAAATGCGGCCTTGCGTGGGAATGCCGTCGGTGCTGGGAATGTGGGCTTTGGTGGAGCGCCTGGTGCTTTGATGCTTGAGAATTAAGGCAGGTCGTCTGCACCTCTGTGAGCCTTAATTGCTTTGCAAATATAGATGTAATTATACTTGCCTCTCCGGACAGTGATTCCGTAACCTGCTACTTCTGCTGATCGTCGCAGACTGCTGCGCACTCTAGGTGCTTCTACGGTTCCCTCATCCAGTCAGTCCGTGTCTTCATCCCACGGAGGCTGGCGTATATGTTCTCCATCAATAGAGGCAGAACCTGAGAGTTAGAGGCATGAGTAACTTGCTCAGATCATCCAGCGGCAAAGCTGAGGCCCAGCTTCTTAACCACGGAACCATGGTGTCAGAACGACAGAGGCAGATGTTAAGTGGCTCGGGCCTGAGCCTTAAAGAGGTAGAGAAGGCCGGGATGCGATGACATTTGATTCTCAGGCACACGTGAAGTGTCCTGTCTTCCAGTACCGGGTGCTCTCGGCCATGGTGGCCCACGGCTGACCTTGGCCAGCCGCGCTGCTTTTATAAGAAAAGTTTTGACTCAACTGCAGGCACTTTTCTTTCTTGACAAATGGGTGATTTCGGGAATAGGACTAAGAGAGGCAGAAAGGAGAGAGGAAGGGGTCAAGTCTCATGTGTTCTGGGTGTGTGCCTACTCCCCAGCATAATCCTTGCGTATTGCCCACACACTAATACAAATAAAGGCTTTTGAAAGAGTTGTCTGCAAAGTGTGAAATATTCTGGCCATTTGCCTACAGATTTTGTTGATCTCTGGCATTACAGATTGTCTTTTCTTTTCCTTTTTTTTTTTTTTTTTTTTTTTTTGGTCTTCTGAGGCAAGATTTCACCATGCAGTTCAGCCTGGCTTTGAACTCACTTTGTAGCTCAGGCTGGCCTTGAGGCAGCCATCCTCCTGCCTCAGCCTACTGAGTGCTGGGGTGCTGGGGTTACAGGTGTGTGCCACCTTGCAGGGCAGGTCGTATTTTCTGATCATTGTGGTAGAAGTAAACATTAGGGAGAAAAAACTTACATTTTTAGAAATTTAAGAGAAACCCCTGTAGGGCTGGAGGTGGAGCCCCCGTACGGAGCCTGCTGTGTACCAGGGGGTGGGTGTGAGCCTGCTGCAAACAACAGAAGCCCAGAACCAAATACTAAAAAGCCCCAAGTGTGTGTTTTATACAAACACATTTTTGAGCTGCACAGACGCCCCATGAAGGTGGAGAGTGTGAGTTCTCTTCTTCATAAGTGACTTTTGTTTGGTTGCTTGTTTTGGAGTACTAGGGCTGAAATCTAGGCTTTACTGATGCGGGGTTGGGGCTCTAGCACTGGCACCCCCAGTCCTCAGAAGTGGTTCTGCAGCCCGAGCCTGGCACCTCTGGAGAGTCCTGGCGTGGGTACCAGAGAGCTCCCTCCTGCTGGGTGGTGGTGGGGCTTTGGAAAGACAGCATGGCAGACAGCCACCGCCTGGTCTTTATCTGGCTTCTACAGAGACAGAGGCAGGAGCTAGGAACGCGGTACGGTTGTCCAGGGCTGCATACCCATGACCCACTCCAGTAACAGCCCCTCCTGAGGGTCTCACACCTTCCAAGAATGCCATCAAATTAGGAGTTCATCAGTGGGTAAGCCATTGTCAAAATTAGAATCCGCACAATCCAGTAATCAAACCCCACCTCGGGATATGGCCATGCTGGAGACTGAACCTCCTGCACACAAGCCTTTGGGCCATAGTGCAGACTTCCTTGAGCAAAGGAGCAAGAGGTGAGGAGATCTTGTGCTTTCTGTCTGCCTGGTCTGTAAGAAGATGCACAACGTAATAAGGCTTCATTGCTAAGGAGACTGCTTGGAAAGCCGCTGAGACCGCATGGGGAGGAAGGGTCCAGATGTTTTCAGCCTTATGGCCAGGCCAGGGAAGACCAGGTAGGCGGACGGCACTGCCTTGGACACCCCATGCCAGCTGGGCTTGTGCCCAAATTCCCTGCAACTGCATTGAGTGCCACGGAGCAGAGGCATCACTAGGCCATGCCTCCCTCAAATTTCTGACCTGAAAAGTGTGATTGATAAGGTTGTAGGCTTTCACTTCTCCCCTCTGAGATCAAACCCAGGGCGCCATGCTTGCTAGCCAGGTGCTGTGCCACTGACTTAGGTCCCTAGTCCCAAAGTGTTGCAGTTTTTTATTTTTTATTTTTTTGAGATGGAGACTCATGATGTAGCTCAGGCTAGCTTTGAACCCCCACGTAGTCTATGCTGGCCTCGAACTCTCAGCCTCCTGTGTGAGGCATGCACCACCACACCCAACAGGGGTTATGATTTGAAGCCATAACATTGTGGATTAGTTCATTCTAGTGGATAACATGTGGGTTTGGGAAGTTAATATACTTGAGATACGGAGAAAGGGCTGCTGTGTGTCCGTTCAGTGTTGTGGTGAGCACCACCTACGGATCTGCCTGAGCGTCACTTAGACTTCTAGTGGGACGTCACTTGGACCTAATGAATGCTCAGGCTCAGTGCTAAGTTAGATATTAGTTTATAGATTTACAAATCACAAAATATTTGCCCAGAGGTGGTGATTTCTTTTTGGTGAAAAAGATAATATCACAGGGAACTGTCCCACCACACTGCAAGACACTAACCAACTTCGTCTTTAAGCCCTGAGTCTTACCACATAGAGCATTTTAGTTCATAACTTCTCATGTCCAATCTGTGTCAGCTTTCCCATCTTTTGTTCTCTCAGTGAAATGAGTACGTATTAGATACATACTAGTCATGCTTTGAGAGAAAATCATGTTTTTAATTCTCTAGAAATTTTGAATTTTGGCCAACTGTAATGCATGTCATACACTTTTGCAGGCTATTAATTCAGTACCTATTTAAGAATCTGTTACGTAAAAGGTTGAAGATCTGTTATGTCTGGAAAAGGTCAGGTATGAGGCGGGGCAGTGTGCTAGGTCTGCGTGACATTCTGACCTCTGGTGCATTGGGTTCTGAGCACTGCTGAGCTGGTTACCACCAGCCTGTTGGGTTCTGAGCACTGCTGAGCTGGTTACTGCGCCAGCCTGTTGGGTTCTGAGCACCGCTGAGCTGGTTACC